TCTTCCGATCTCCAAAAAATTGATGCTTTTGAACTGTGGTGTTGGAAAAGACTCTTGAGAGTCTCTTGGACTGCAAGGAGATCCAACCAGTCCATCCTGAAGGAGATCAATCCTGGGTGTTCATTGGAAGGACTGATGCTGAAGCTGAAACTCCAATACTTTGGCCACCTCACGCGTAGAGTTGACTCATTGGAAAAGACTCTGATGGTGGGAGGGATTGGGGGCAGGAGGAGAAGAGGACGACAGAGGATGAGATGGTTGGATGGCATCACTGACACAATGGACATGGATTTGGGTGGACTCCGGGAGTTGGTGATGGACGAGGAGGCCTGGCGTGCTGTGATTCATGGGGTCACAGAGTCGGACACGACTGAGCGACTGAACTGAACTGGGTCACAGTGATCAATGACAGCTATATTACTACATTCAGAAGAAAAGGCATATGCTATATATAATGTTTATCCTAGCTCATGTGTTTCAAATTAGTTATCATAGAATGGCAAATTGAAAGCAAAGGATCCAAAGGCTTCACAGTTTTCTCTCTTTCAATATTTATAAATATCTACTAGCTTACCTAATACCATTAAAAATTGGGTCTTCCAGGAGTAAAAGACACAGATGGTTCAATTTAAATAATTATGTATATATACCCCGAAACAAATCCTCAAGATGGTATTTTCTTAACACTAAAATGCCATGTTTCTATATACACTACCACATGTAAAACAGATATGCTAGTGGGAAGAGGCTTTGCAGCACAGAGTTCAGCTCAGTACTCTGTGACAACCTAGAGGAGTGGGAGGTTGATAAACGTATACAGGGGATATGCATATACAGATAGCTGGTTCACATTGTTGCACAACAGAAACTTACACAACAGTGTAACGCAAGTACACTCCAATAAAAAATAATTAATTAAAATTAAATGGCATATCTCTTCAAGGTCACTTTGCTTATTTAATTGTGGACACTGACTTTATAATCTATGTGCTCACACTCCATACATATATATATTTTAAAGTATTTGGATATTTAGAGGTGCTTTTATTGAATAACTGTTCAATTAAGCTGAATGGTGAATCAGGCAGGTAAATGATCAGAAGGCCTACTTGTTATTTCAGAAGCCTTTCTAATTATCATGACAACATGCTTCTCTTATCCCTAAAACTGCCAGCCCATAATAGGCCACCGTAATGATAGGGTATCATGTTTGCAACTTCCTCATAAATACATAACTAAAAATAATATTTATTGAATATTTACTGTGTATCAGATGTAATCTAAGTTTTAAATGTATTAATTCATTTAATAATTCTTACAAAACATTTCATGAGCTGGAAACTATTGTGTCCATTTTACATATAAGAAAATTAGGGTAGAGAGAAATTCCTAACACACTCAAGGTTAGGTAGCTGGAAGCAACAGAGAACTTTCCACCCCAGGGAGTCTAGCTCCAGCTCCGACTACTTTCGTCTGATCTTATGGAATTTCAGCACTCTATCCTAAGTACTTCCCAAATAGCTCTTGGCACAAAAGTTATTTCGGACCGTGATGTGATTCATGTCCTACCCTGAGACACTGTCCTGCTATAGTCACTTGACCACGGCCTCAGAAGTCCTACACAGACAGGAGACCTAGAATTCAGTTCTGGCTCTTACTAGTTACAAGCCAGTTGGCCAGCTCTGGAAATAGATTTATCTACTTTTTGTCTCAATAGCCCCCACCACACTGAACACCAAGCACCCTTGGTCACAATGCCCTGGTGTATTGGATTAGTATTCACCAGAAGCTGTTGGGAAAAGGGTGTGAGAACATTTGTTTTAAAGAAAAAACCTGGGACTTCCCTGCTGGCCCAGTGGTTAAGACTCTGAGCTCCCAATGCAGGGGGCCCAGGTTCGATCCCTGGTCAGGGAAGTAGATCCCACATGCTGCAACTAAGACCTGGTGCAGCCAAATAAATGAAAAAATATTTTTTTTTTTAAAATAAAGAAAAAAATTATTCAACAGTTGGAGAAAAGTTGAGTAAAAAGATATCTTCATGGAGTCTTGACTAGGCTAATATACATGCATAAATATTAAATCTACAAGAGAGGT